TCAGGAATGCTACTGAAAAACAAAACCCTTAAATTTTTGTAAAGTGCAAAGACACTGACAGGGTGGGGGGCCAATTATTATATTCTGACAAATAGAGGAAATATTCTGAACTTTTCAACATGACCCTTTGGCACTAGTGGTTTGGGAGCTCCTAACATGTGCCTGGTGTGAGATAGATAGTTCATCATCAGGGTTGAGCTGCTTGTAAGCATGAAGTTCAGCATCAGACATTACAAATTCAATGCCACAGAATCCATGTGCTTCACAGGCCATTAAATCTGCAGAACACAGACCTAGGCAGAATGCCAGCAGAGCTCATCACACCATCAGAATGTGATCTTTCAGTGCAGCTTTATAAAGTCCCTGTTTAATTTCCATTATTTTACAATAGGATATATAAAACCTTTCCTTTTAAAACAAAAAAGGAAAATTAAAGCTTCATGGAATCATGCAAACTTTACTCCCAGCACCTCCTCTGCTCTCTCAGTGTTTGAAGCTGCGTGTTCTGTAGCGCAGTCCTGAGCAGACTCCACGGCCAGCTCGTGCCAGCCACGTTCCCACCATGTTACTCCCAGAGCACCCTGAACATGCTGCGCTCACTGGAGGCCACTGGAACTGCTAAAAGTGCCAGCATAATCAATTCAGAGAACCATCCCACCCCTCTAGAGGTAGAAAAACTGAGGCACGAAAAGGTTAAGTAACTCACCTGTATTTGCACAATTCAAGGAAAAATAGAGAAAAGAAGAAATAAATCCGTCTCCCTGGCTCATGCTCTGGGCCTTGACTCTGCTTTTTAATTGCTTTGGGTATATATGAAACAGATGTTTATTTACATGATCCTTGTTTTACTGAATAACAACTTTTTACTAGACAATATTTTTTGACGTAACAAAGTTACATTTTCTTAAAATATAATTCTTTTGTTGCATGTGAGAAATGTGTATGAAAATAAATGAGTAGTGGTACTGGGCCAAATTCTTATTCCTGTTCCTGTAATTCTTAATCTTTTCAAGTATGCAATGGAGGTATAAGAATCTGGCCAGATGTGAAAAATCACCTGTAAGCTAAAGGACAGACTCTTAAAATTAATCACCAGTACAACTGTGAGGTGGAAGTGAGGAATACAAAAAAATTGAGGTATTTTATATGATAAACTGTCTTGTGGTGTGACTGGTGTGCAAACTGGTCTTTTCTTTCCAACTAAAGTTAACAGAATCTAGCTATGAATATGAGTAAAACATACAAAAAATGAACATGCATAGGAGGAAGGTCAATGCTAAGGAGTTAATGATACATTTTTGGTCCCTGAGAAGGCAGAACACGAAGATTCCATCCAATCCTGCTTGATGGGTGAACAAACCCCTGGGTGTCAGACGCGCCAAGAAAGACAACTCCTTCAAACATGGAAGTCAATCCATACAGTCGTGAACAGACCTCAAACCAGAATGTTCTTGTCCTTCTAGTTTCCTGCTTGGTCACAGGAATCCTAAGTCAGGATCAAGTGGCATCAGAGAAGAGCAATAGGCATGGCTCTGTGAACCATCACAGCATTCTCTAGATTCTAATCTTCTATTTAATAGATTAGTTGAGCAGCTTGGAAAGAGGTATCATCTCTCAGCAAAAATTATGCTGTAAGCCAGTGGCCTGTGCTTAACACCTGTTTCCATGGACTGAGCGTCTGTCTGCATCTGGGAGATGCTGCATCTCCAGGGCTTGACAGAAGTCTAGGAACTGGCCTTTAGAAGTCAAGCACAGTACTGACGAAAAACCAAGCTGTTCAAGAAGAAGGAAGATGAGAGGTGACTACATTTGAGCAGTGCTCTCTTCTATCAGAAAACAGATGTGAAACCCAAAGAACAAAGACCAACACATTACTGCTGGGATGAACTTCTGGAAATACAACTTGGCTTTTAACAAATAGGCTTGAAAAGGAGGAATCGAAAGAATTTTTCTTATTGCTGAACAAAGAGCAATGAAGTATACTTACTTCACTAACATTCTAATAATATGAAAAGATCGGAATGAGAGTCTGAGTGATGACGAAGGTTAACTATAAAACAAGATTCCTCCAGAAATTCCCCACAAGGGCAGTGCCTCACTCCATGTGTGTCAGAGAGCAGCCTGACCTCCCCTTTCCAGAACCTTCTCACCAAAGATGGAGTGGTCTTGCAGACCAGCAAAAAACGTTCTTGGGTGGTCCCTTGGTGCTGGGTTTGGGTTAGAATCCTTAATTGGCCCTACACTTCATCAACAGGAAGCAATCTTTCCAAATGCAAAGATTCAGATGAGAAAACAAGGCATTGTCCAAAAGGAGGAGAGGAAAGAAATGGTCTATTTAAGTATCTATCAAGAGTATATCTGCAAATTGTGATCCAAAACCTTTGATTTTAGAGAAGACTTGAAAACAAGTATACAGTAGTGTTTTTTCCCTCAAAGAATAGTGTAATAATGAAAATGTTTCACGTGCATTTACGTTTGGAAAGACCAGCGAGAGACCCATCCCCATTCTAGACCCCTCCGCCCAAAGCTCTCATTCAGGGGCTTTTTTCCCTTTGCATTTCCAAATGAATTATGAAAATATGAATTTGTAAAATAAATGCTATTAAATCAGAAGTTAAATGCTCTATGTTGAACTTGAAAATTAGATCATTAGACCACTGGCCATTTCATTTGCTTTGAGGCTAGTGTCACACACTTGAAAAACAATGGATGATATGAACTTTGTTCCACTGGAAGAAAAGCTACGTAACCTACAGAAGTATCTGCTGAACAAGAATAAACCTGGGAGATTCTAACTGTCCCAGGACCAGTCACCTTCAAGAAGAGATGAGCTATTAATACTCTGAGATTTTGTTTTACACTAAAAAAATCATAAGAAAGATCATCTACCACCTCTGAGTATCAATGGTATAATTGTGGATTAAAATATAATAAGGTACACCAATGGATGCATTTAAAGTAAGCTTCACATGTAAGTTGTAGCAAAATAAACATAATTTCCATATGATACGTGTACTTTCTTATTATACTTGTATACTCACTTGTATTCTTTGAATATCTCAAACTCCTTACCTAGGAAACTGTATTTATGCTTAAAAGTATTTGATACTGCTATAGTATATTTTCAGGAAGTTCAGTTCAATAAATTAAGGCCTGCATTCCTAAAAATACTGATGATAAAAAACAAACCTTCAAGAGCTGATAAAAGAGTAATGGGCTTTTTTAGCATTAACTATCAGTTAATATAAGATCTTTTCAATGTTTGAATAATTTTGTTGCTGCTTTTAGTTTACAAATCGCTGACAACCCATGATCATCACATGTACTTTTAATTTAAAAAGGCATTTTTCACTCTATGTTAAACTAGTCTCATTTTATTTAGCCTCTTTGTTCAATACTTTAAGGAACTATTCTTTGAAACTTTACCTTAGAAATATTCTTTTTTGCCTGGAAAAACATAGTTTTTTCTTAGTGAGTAACGTTAATTGGGTATTTTTAAATTTCATGTTCTACTTCACCTAACCTACTTTACCCCATCCCATCTTTCACCTTGGTGCTGTTCCCTATTTAGATAAAACATTGCGCATAAAGTACATAATACCATGATGAAATATTTGCATCACTTTATGCTTTGCCCCAATTTAATACACATGGAAGGTTACTACGGACAGAAGAATAATCTCTTTGAGCCAAATATTGGCATAATTAACGGATATCTTGCATTTAGGACATACAATAAGAGGTTGGGTAAGAAACTCTAGGACACTCTGCCATTTCAAAACACAAGGATATGGCTAAATTAACTGTTTTCATTTTTGTTGGTAATTGTTTTGAGAAGTAAGTATTCCAGTTTGTAGAAACTAGCCTAAGCTTGAGCGCGTCCTTTAACTTGTTCCTGTATTACAGGTCATTCAATATATGTGCTATGGAACAGCTACTCTCTCATCTAACAGTCTTATTATCAAGTTAATAATTTATTCCTTCTGAATGGCAACAAATACTTGCTGAAAGAGAAATGTGGACATATTTGATACTGGATCCCAGTTACACAGATTGAACATAAATAAAATATCTCATGCTACTTAAATCAGTTATCTTTAAATGGACAAAAACTACATGCTAAACGGGACAGTTTGCTCTAATGTGTCTTTAGTCTTGACTATTTTCCAATGAATATACAGTCATGCGCCACATAACGACATTAGGGTCAAGGACAAACCACATATATGAGGGTAGTCCCGTAAGACTATACTAGCATATTTTTACTGTACTTTTTCTATGTTTAGATAAGCTAAGATACACAAATGCTTACTGATGTGTTATAATTGCCTACAGTATTCAGTACAGTAACATGCTGTACAGGTTTGTAGCCTAGGAACAATAGGCTATGGCATATGGCCTAGATGTGTAGTAGGCTACAAAATCCAGGTTTGTGTTAAGTACACTATGATGTTCGTACAAGGACAAAATCACCTAATGACACATTTCTCAGCATGTACCCCTGTTGTTAAGTGACGCATAACTGTACTATTACTTGTAACTGCTTTATGCATTTATAATTTGAATATTGAAATATTAAAATATAATCAAGGAAGTTGCATTATTCTAATCTAAGAGAACATACGCACAGTAATAGTCAAATTAAGTGACCAATTTAAGTGATAAAGGCACTGAAATTGATTTGAGCTATTGAAAAGTCATCCTGCCAATGGTATACTGCATCAACTCTTCTCTCTCTATTTGCTATTAAAATGTCTTGGAGTGGGAGGGTAGGAAAGTCAACTTGTTAGAGGATTAAAAACAATTCAATGTATATACTTCTTATTTAGACGACTTACTTGAATGTTATACATGCTTGATGCAAACTAACACAACTACAGACACATTCACTGTTGTGCAGAGCCAGATTTCAAGACAATTTCTTCATTTCCAAAGTAATCTTCTAAGTAAGAATATCTGCTTTCCTGCAAAGACTAACCAGAAAGAGCCCATCTTTTTCTGTTTAAATAATGTGAAAATGTTTTAAAAGAATATTCATGAAAGCGTCCAGATTAATGGAAATGAAAATGAGATTCGTCTCATCAGAGAGAGATGGCACCCAGGCAACTTTGGGGGACTTTGGGCTGCAGAGGGCTGGGCCCCCGCTCTGGTGCCAAGCCACGCTCCCCCGTGTCCACTGGCCCACTTGTTAGTATACAGGCAACTCTAACATTAGTGATCGAGGGTCTCTTCTACTTCACTTCCAGGCAGGATCAGAAACCACCTCCAATGCCCATTCCTCGAGCCACCCAACCTCCTGTTGCATCCTAGTCTGTTTTCATGTTAGATTTGTTCATCTCCCCAAGGTTGAAATTGAACTCTTTGAACACCTGTATAAGGACAATCCCCACGGAGACAGTTGTGAATCCACAGGCCATCCCCAAGAAGTCCACCAGGCCCACATTGCTCCACTCCCGGAAGAGGATGGCTGAGGCCAGCAGGACCAGCGTGGTGAACACGACATAATAGATAGCCCCAAACACCGAGGAATCGAAGCACTCCAGGGCCTTGTTGATGTACCTGAACTGGACGATGATGCTGCAGCCAAGCACAGCCAGGAGCACCAGGCACAGGCACAGGGCTCTCTGACTGGACGGGTTGTTGTGCAAGATGTCTTGGGCCGCCAGCCCGATGCCCTTGGTGGAAGGCACGGTGAAACTGCCCAGCAAGGAGCAGATACTGATGTAGACCATGATGTTGGTGGGCCCATGGGCCGGCGCTATCCAGAAGATAAGCAGCAGAAGCATGAGCAGGACAATGCACAGGTAGCCCACGAACACTGGAAAACAGATGGCACACGCTGACCTGCAGTCGCCCGCTGGCCTGCAGGCCTGGGGACAGAGCCAAGGCAGCACCACGCCCCACCTACAGGGTGGGGCAGGTGGGAACCCTAGGGTTCTGGTTTGAATTTACCAGATCTACTTTCATCACAAAAATAATTCCCACCACTGTTTTCACCATCACAACACTCACTGCTCCTGAGTGTTTGCATGGCCCTCTCTCTACTAGTACCATTTTTATAACAATACAAGTCAACTGTAGATACTCTGAGGTAAAGGGAAAAAAGCCATTCACAAGATGGGTTTTCTTACTTTAGAATCAAATCAACAAACCTTCACTGAACACCCATCGCAGGGCACAGTGCTGGGAGCCCAGGAGCAGGGGTGCAGTGGGGGAATCTTAAGCTGTGGGAGTATTTGTGGCTCTGGCAGTGACTGGAGGCTACAGACCATGGGCAGAGTATGTGCAGATAGCCCCACGCCATCACAAATTACCCCACTCTCCTCACAGCGTCTTAATGTCTCCTTGGACTACTAAGTGAAAAATATGTTTATAATAATCAGAGCCTAGAACCTATTTTATATATAAAACAAAGTAATTTTTGCATGGATTCGATATCCACTGAATTTTTCAGAAATGCAACTTTTATGTCAATGTAGGGAGGACTGTTCTTTCTTTGATCAGGAACTTCATTAAGAGTTATTCTCCATCTCAGAGGACCATACTGTTGATGGCAAGACCCCCCGGGTGTCTGAGTTAGAAGTAATATAACACCCCCATGTCAGTCTATATGCAGCTGCCAGATTCTCAGCGGCTCCACGTAGGGTGTGGGATCTGCCGGCTTCAATATGTCTTCTCCTGTAGTTGTACCTGAGCATTTACATATTGAAATCCGAGTTTTATTATGAAGTACCATCCTGCTATTTCTCCTTTACGTAACAGCGCATTATACTGACTGCTCTTAAATTATGTACATGGAGGTTGTATTCTCCATGAATTCCATTCCTAGATCAAAAATGGACCTGGGGGCACTGCTGAGAACTTGCCTGGCCATGCAAACCAGCAAAAGCAAGAGTGGACACACAAACCATTAAGTGTGGACACATAAACAAGCAAGTGTGGACACATAAATAAGTGTAGACACACAAATGATTAAGTGTGGACATGCAAATCAGCAAGCAGACAGGGGGGACCCCACCCTCCAGAAGTGAGAAAAAGCAACTATGGAGCCCTGCTCTTGGGGAGGTTCTGGAAGAAGGGCAGGTGATAGCTGCCTGGGAGCCTGACCTACAAACTGGGGAAGGGCACGGAGGACAGAGAGATCCACATGGGTGAGCACAAAATACTGCCAGACGGGTATGTTTGGGGCTTCGGCAGAAAAACAGAAGCAGCCGGAATGCAACTGTGCAGGCTTAGTATCAGGAAGAGCAGCAGAGCCTCAATGTGGAGCAGTTTGGGCCCTCTCTCATGGGTAGGGAGATGCAGGAGGCTTTGAAGCCAGGAAGGGACATATCTGACTATGTTTCAGAAGGGTCCCGGTGTCAAGATGGCTGGGGTGGGGGTGGGAGGGAGCAGGTGAGCAACAAGAGCTCTCACCCCAAGGCGGCAGTGCCGAGGGACAGGAAAAAAAGGTGGGCAGTGGCCTTGTGGGCAAAGAGGAGACAGGAGTGGGTACAGCAGCCAGAGGAGAGCTCTGATATGCCTCAGCACCTGTGTTTGAGAACTAGGCAGCTTGGAGAGACTAACCCACATCCAGGAAAACTTCTCTATTTTCACATGATCAACCTTAAATTCTTATTTATCTTTAGAGCAGGCAGCCAGATGCCCCTGTGTTTTGTGGTTCTTACCTTACATCAGTGTCTTTCAACCCTTTTTTTATTATCATTCCCCTAAGGAACCATTTTATACTTCCTTCTACTCGTCCCCATGACGTTTTTTTTTTGGAAACAGGGTCTCGTTCTGCTGCCCAGGCTAGAGTGCAGTGGTGTCATCATAGTTCACTGCAGCCTCAAACTCCTGGGCTCAAGCGATCCTCCTATCTCAGCCTCCTGAGTAGCTGGGACTACAGGGATAAATCACCACACCCAGCTAATTTTTCTATATTTTTGTAGTGATGAAGTCTCATTATGTTGCTCAGGCTGGTCTTGAACTCCTGGCCTCGAGCGATCCTCCTGCCTCAGCCTCCCAGAGTGCAAGGATTACAGGTGTGAGCCACCACGCCTGGCACTCCATGAAATTTTAATACCACTGATATATGGGTATCTGTTTATATACTGTATCTATACCTGTGCTTTATACATTAAAAGAATATAAGGGGTTGGGCACAGTGGCTCATTCCTATAATCCCAGCACTCTGGGAAGCCAGGACAGGAGGATCACTTGAGGCCAGGAGTTCAAGACCAGGCTGGGCAACATAGTGAGACCCCGTCTCTACAATAAAAATAAGAAAAATTGGCTAGGTGTGGTGTCATGCGCCTGCAGTCCCAGCTGCTCAGGAAGCTATAGTGAGCTATGACCACATCACTGCACTTCAGCCTAGGCCACAGAGTGAGATGCTGTGTCTTAAAAAAAAAAAAGAGTATTAGATTTTTTTTACCCTCAAGGACTAATTTTTGCTCTCTGGGGGTGATATCTAAAGAACACATGTCTTTAGAGAACTTTTCCACAACATTCCCTTTTCTTCCCCTCTTTGAATATCAGAGATCATATATCAGGCATTTCAGAAATATAAACAAGTACTGATTTTAAATTTCTTCTAAGGTAGTTATTTGACAAAAATTCATTCTGGTATTTTTACCTATAGAAAAAAAATAAGAAAAACATCTAATAAATTAAGTAGCCAGAATAATACCATTTTATATGCCACGTTAAAAAAAACAGTTTTTCATGTTAAAAAGAGAAATCTTTTTGCCATCATTGTATGTTCGTAGCATACCTAATTTTTATGGTGATGTTCAAATTCGCAACTTTTTTTGATACAAATAAGTTAGGACCTCAATATGTTGGTATCATACATATTTATCAAAAAGTAAGTAGCCCTTGGATATGTCCTTCTGGAAATTACATAAAGTAAATCCTTCAGGACACTCATATCTACTTCTCTGATCCTTTTTTCCCCATGACTTTGTACTCTTATTTCTCACAGTATTGGAAATACTTTGGCTTTTATGGGAGAAAATGAGTATCACAGTGCTAAGTGTTTAGGGATAAAACACTACAGGGAGATACAGTCTTGGCTAATTTTGCTATGAATCCCTTTTTCAAGTTTTACAGATGTTTCTGTTGCTGTGTCCATCACTGCAAAAGAGGCTACCTTTTGTAGCCGTACAGATACTGTTGTGCCAGCACCTGCCTAGAATTGTTGGTGAGCAACACAGGGTGGTCTACTTGAAGTAAAATCTATACTTTAAGAGTGATGTAATTAAGTAGTATTTTTTTTTATTGCATTTGTAAAAAAAGGAAAAAGAAAAAGAAATTATGTCAAAAAAATATACATACAGGGCTCTGTGGGGAATCTAAGGATAAGAGACACTGGGGCCCTGCTCTCAGCTTCACGTAGGAAAGAGGGAAGCGCCCAGTGGCACTGGGCAGAGGCGCGAGCTCAGCAAGGGCAGCAGGAAGGAATTCATGGGGAGGGAGGCAGGGCTGGGGGGGAGGGAAGCAGGGCTGGGGGGGAGGGCTATGCAGAACGCAGACCTGCGGTGCCACATCTGGGTGCACATGGCTTCACCGCGCCACCAGCAAGTGTCAGACTCAAGACCCAGATGCAAAGGTCAGGACTCCAGGCAAGCTCTCTCCTGGCCCTGCTAGAAAGCACTTGCCTGGATTGGTCAGTTTCTCCTCCAGCTCCGCCTGGGTCGTCACGCTTTCAGACTTCGGGGAGTGGATAATCAGCACGACGGAACCTGCGCAGCTTAGCAGACACCCCAGCTTGCCCAAGATGTTGAGCTTTTCCTTCAGAAGGTAAGAAGCTAAAATGGACCTTCAATTAAAACAAGCACAATCATTAGAATTTAAATCTAATGATCTGACCTCTTTCTACTAACTGCAAATACTTTGTCTAGAAAAATCACATCTTCTTAATAGCCATTATTTTATTTTTAATTTAGTTTTTAAGAACAGAAAAGATTAGGAATTTATTGAACTTGTTATTTCAACGCAAGCAGGATTTTCATGCCAATTCCATGCATGATCACTACACTACATAGTTGATGACACTCTTAACTCATAACACTATATTATTATTATTATTATTTCAGTAGAGAGAAAATACACCAGAGTAGAAAAAGTTTTAATTGACCCAAAATAAAAATACTGCTTCCTTATTTATAAAAGCAAACTATCAAAAAAACTATGCTAAATGGGAAAATAGAGTACAAAAATTGTCAAAAATAATTATAAGTAATGCATGATAAAAACATTTAAGTTAAAATAAATTAAGTGAGAAAATGTACAAACGGAAGAAAAAATAGAAATGCTAATAGTAATTGCAGTATGGTAGGAAAAGTCTGGATGATTATTTTTCTGTAATATTAAAAATTTTTAAGGTGAGGTCACATTACTTTTTCAATGCAAAAAAAATGTATTCTTCATGAAACATCTATCATCTTCAGGCTTATAATAGGCTTCTCTTACTCCCTGTATAATATCAGTACACAATCTGAATTGGGAAACCAGAGCCCAATTCGGTGAGTCACGGGCCCGGTCGTTCTCACTTTGCTGGTGTCTACACTGAAGACATGCAGGGACCATGAACACCAGGAGGAGGGCACACCAGAACAAGGTAAGTACTGGATAATTTCCTTCAATCCTCACCTTACAAATAACGAAACTGAGCCTCAGAAAGGATCCACACTGAGCCTAAGACCACAGAGCTAACAAGAGAGAAAACCATGGTCATGACACACCCATAAGGCCAAAACTCGCATCTCTTCCTTTATGCCAATTTGTATTCCTGCACCTAGATGGCCTTGTCCTCAAGGAGCCCCCAGCAGTGTAGCTGGGGAAATAAGCAACATCACGGAAAGTACCAACAAAAGATCTAGAATACATAGCTGGACATTAAATTGAGGCACTCCACTGCCTATCTGTCCAGAAAAGTGGACACCAGAGAGATGGGAGGCTCCCAGAGCAAAAGGTGGGCCTGGGGTTGGTGGACTGTGACAAGGTGGAGAGGGGTCACCATGCACGAAAGCAGAGAGCCTGGACTAGAGGCCACATCATCTCTTATGCCATGGTAAAATACCAGAGTATAGTGCCTACCTTTTAATTGGGTTGTTTGTCTTTTTATTGATGAGTTGTAAGAGTTCTTAATAATTTGAAAATTTTCTCTCATTCTGTGAGTTTTCTTTTCAGTTTTTTGATGGCATCTTTGAAGCACAAAGGTTTTTAATTTTGATGATATCCAATTTATCTACTTTTCTTTTGTTACTGTGCTTTTGTGCTTTAGGTGTCGTACCTAAGAAACTATTGCCTAATCCAAGGTCATAAAGATTTATACCTATGTTTTCTTCTAAGATTTTTATAGTTTTAGCTCTTACATTTAAGTCTTCGATTTGTTTTGAGTTGATTTTTGTATACAGCATGAGGCACGAGTACAACTTCCATTTGCATGTGAATATCTAGTTGGCTCAACATCATTTGTTGAAAAGGCTATTCTTTCCCTGCTGACTTGTCTTGGCACCTCTGGCAAAAATCAATTGACTGTAAATGTAAGGGTTTATTTCTGGAATTTCTATTCTAGTCTATTGATTTACATGTCTATCCTTATCCCAGTACCTCAACATTTTGATTACTGTAGTTTTGTAGTAAGTCTTGAAATAGGGAATTGTGTTTGTTCCAACTTTGTTCTTATTTTTCAAGATTGTTTTCTTATTTCAAGTCCCTTGTACAGCCTATGAATTTTAGAATCAGCTTGTCAATTTCTATAAAGTATTCAGTTGGGATTTTGATAGAAACTGCATTGAATCTGTAGATGAATTTGGGATTACTACCATCTTAATATTATTT